TTTTTTTTTCTCTCCTCCCTTCATCGGCACGAATCGGTAAGCTTCGCGAAGATCACGCCATCAACGATGACGTCAACCTACGCGCTGATTCGACAGACGGCAACGAGCAAGGGTGCAGAGCACACGGAGATCAGGTGGACCATGATGGCGTCACCTGGACGATCTCCATAAGGCAGAGGGTTGCATATGACAGGGCTACAGGGATCTTGCCACGGATGTTGTCGCCATCTCATCCACGGCCCAGTTATCGTTCCTTGTACTTCTTTCTGATCTGTTGATACGTTTGGTTCCTCATGCATCACTCTGTTCTCCCCTCTTCTTTTTCGCCATGACATCCAATCAGGAGATCGCATAATTTTGGAACCCCCTGCACGTCACATATGTGATAAACCACTTCACGACCCCGTGCCACCTTTTGTACCCTTTCTTTTGCTTATATCATACCAACCCCAGGAAAACCCCGTTTTTGATTTCTTGCTTTCGGGTGCCGCATTTTTCCTTTTTGAAGAGCTTTTTCGATTGCTGAGTTCTGTTTTTCTTTTTGCAAAGTCGGGAAATACATGGGAATTTGCGTGCGCCTTAGCGAGCGCACTGGGAATTGGGCTCAGCGGTTGGGAATTCCGGGATAAGCGAAACTTCGACGTGTCCTTTCCGAGTGTGTGAATGTTCTTGGTCGCGTCGGAGAAAACTTTCGGAATTTCGTTCGGATACGAATAAGCGTAGGATTTTTCTTTTCCCACGTCTCTCTTTCGCGCGCGGATATGGTGATTTCAATTTTTGAATTAGGATAGAAGCAAGCTGTAATTGTTTCGGTGCCTTTTTCTCTTTTTTTTTTGACGGCGCCGTGTATGCAGAAGCTTTCTACCCTCTGTCCCCTGTATCGCTCCCTCCCCGCTCCCTTTCCTTCTCCCTCCTCTTTCTCTCTCCTTGTAACTGTTTCTTTCTCTCTCCTCCCCCTCCCCCGTCTTGCTGTTTGCGCGCCCATTTCCCTTTCTTGATCGTCTGAATCTTTGACCCGTCTTGCGCCACCTCTCGCGCCTTTTCTCTTCTCACCCTCTGAGCCTGGCGTACGACGCCCGGTCGATCCCCAGATAACTCCCGCTAGCCAATCAGGTGCGTGGATCGATAGGACCTTCCTATCGCGCGACGTATTTGATTGGTTGAACCCTGAGTTCCGAGGGATCAGCATGGTGTTCGTAGAGCACTCTTCTCCAAGTCTTCTCCTCCTGCTTCTCCTCTTACACCTCAGCTTTCCTGTCGCGTTTCCCCCTTCTATCTCCCCCGTCGCAACTATAAAACCCGCAAGCGCGTTCGCAAATCTCTCTTACGTTCTCGACTCTCAAGCCAGTTTCCGGGAAGCAGTGGCTAGACAGAGTGTTTGAAGTGAGTCGGAAAGTCCTTTCGGGCTGACGATAGACTGGTCGGTTGTGCGTTGGATCGCCACGACGGACTGTGGGATCTGGGCGAACCGTGTCGAGTTTACAACAGCAAGGTGACGATCGCAGTGGTGGGAATTAGCACGCGACGGTCGGGATCGTCGGTGCGGGTATGAGGTTCGATGATTGGAGTTGAGTGAGTGATTGGCCCAGGGCCATAGTGGAATTAACGGCGAATGCACCTTTGTTACGGATTGTTATCTTTGGCGTGAGAGTGCGGCGGTGACGCCGAACTTTTCTCTTTCCGGACCTTGTCATCTCCTATTTTGACTTTCTTTTCCTCGACTCTCTCTCTCTCTCTCCCTCTCTCTCTTTTTGAATGATGATGCGTCTGAATGACTGTCCCTCTCTTGAGTAGGAATGAGTTGGCATCCTGCTTCTGTGTAAAAGAACTTCTTCCAGAACTATTCCATTAGTTTCCTGGGCAATCCTCCTACCCAAGGACCTCGTCTACTTGTCTTGTGAATGGTGGATGCGTGTGTATTGTGCAATGCGATCCATCTTTTCCTGTGCATGTCTCATTTTTCCACCTTCCACAGTGAATGCATGTATAGAGATGCGTGACTTTTCGATTTAATTAGACGAGTGTCGTCGGGATTTTGTTCGAGAATGCAAGAGTGTTTAGATCTGTAGTTCCGAATGCACTGCGCATGCTATTTGCCTTATGCTGCACGACATCAGCAACCACGCCACCAGGCGACCTTGAGAAACAAGGCGTCGGAGACCAACGTTGTGTTGAACTGAGTCGCGGGTCGGTCCCTTAGCCCTATGCATGATCAAACTGATGTGTGTCTGTTCCCTCGTGTGTCAAGAAGGACAAATTGAGGGTCGCACGAATGATTTTTGTTCTTAATAACGTCTGTGGATATATGTGATTGATTGATATGTGGACTGACAAGCACCCTTCGATTGGGCGTCGGTCCCCCGCATCCCCCATCCCAACGCGACCTTTTCCCTACAACGAGGAAAGGACACGTGTATGTGAGTGGGACGTACGGGAAGCCGTCGCACAAATCGGCGGGTACCATTACTTCCCTCCGACCGACCGTTGTTCAGGGTTCGTAGACGCCGGATTTGTCATTATCGATACGCACTTTCCACCCTACTCGATATTATTGTTGTTTAACGAGCTGATTGTCATTCCGTGGACGGCAGTGGCGCCCCATTGGCCCCGCACTCTGTGCACGGAGTGCCAACATTTCGATCGCTACGAAGCGAAGGGCTTCCACTACCAAATACGGAGTGAGGACGAGCATAAGGAAAGAGCCACTCGGCTGAGGCTATCCACGTCGGATTCGGAACTGACTAGCGAACGACGATGAGATCTTATACGAAAACAAGACACGTGAAGCGTGTCAGAGCCTTTCCGTTCTAAACGACGGGTTGTAGCCCGGTGGGAAGCCCGAGAGTATTTTTTGGATTGAATTTGGATCGCTCTGTTTTCGCGCCATGTCTGCACGCGCATTCCGCGACCCGCGAAATTAATCAACTTGCTTCATCGGACCATTACGGGGGATTTCAGATTCATCTGTGTCCCCACACTCAATTTCCAAAAATCCTTGGCACACCCCATCTTGCTGTTTTTCTGGGCCTCTTTCCGCACGTCTTACGCTTCGAACGAAAGAGAGCACATGGTGTGAGGTTTGCGCGTCACATGCCCGCAAAAAAAAAAAAAAAAAAAAAAAAAAAAAAAAAAAAA